CCCCCAGCCAAAGCCAGGGAAACCAAAGCTCAAATTCACTTGATTCAGCAGCTGCTGCAGTTACTGCCTTCAGAAAAGAACTTGGTTTCACGTAACCATCTTTCTTTACTCTTTTTGCAAGGTCATGAAGGCCTAAGAAGTTGCCTTGGCCCTGGCCGGTTGGCTCGGTGGTTAGTGTCGGCCTACGGACTGAAGGATCCGGGTTCCATTCCAGCCAAGGGCAAGCACCTCGGCTGCAGGCTACCTCGGTTGCAGGCTCAGTCCCCAGCAACCACTCGATCTCTCTCTCTCTCCCCCCCTTCCACTCTCTCTGAAAAAGTAATGGAAGAAATAGCCTCAGGTGAGGTTAAAAATAAAGAAAAAAAGAAAATTGTTTTGTATGATTTAAATGTTATTTTAGATTGACATATTTCAACGGGAGGGTTCGTTTGGGTTTTTAGACCATTGTTCTGCCAGAAACGAAGGTCCAGAACCAACACTGTGGCCCAGATCACAAGCTTGGTTGTCATGAGAGGATGGTGGAGGCACAGAAGCGAGGAGAGAAAGAAGAAAAGAAAGTTGTCAAAGGATAAAGTTGTCCCTCCGAGTCTGAAGCCAAAATGATGAAATGGTTGCTTTCTGCAATAAAAGAGAGCCGCGCTGGTCAGGCAGGGGCTCACTCGCAGAGCAGAGAGCTGGGTTTATATCGCGTTCGGGGGAAGCGTCCTAGGGGAGCGGTGCTGGTGACACGTGTGGCAGTGGGTTGATGACAGCTCAGGAGCGCGTGCACTGAGGTGAACCCAGCGCCGCTGGCTGACTTCCAAAGCACAACGCTGTCGCCGATCCCTTGGCCTTCAGAAGCGTGTTCACAGAAGCAGGTTGCCACTGATGGATTAGGAAGGTTTAAAACCATTCGAGGAGTTTACTCGTTTTTATGGCTTTAGAACTGTCAGTCCTTTTCTAGGACTATGAACAGTTTTTATTCTCACAAAAGAAGGGAAGCTTCAGGGGGACGTAAGGAGGCAAATGACAGAGGAACCCCGAAAGACAGCGTCGGAGCAGCCCGAAAGCTGGGAGGGAAGCAAAGAAAGGCGTCGCCGAGGCCGACCAAGTTAAGGTTCTCAAGCACCCAATGAGCTGTGGCTGGAAATGCCACCCAGAGGCAGAGTGAGGCATTAGTTGAGCAATCGCCGTGACATTTTCCAAAAGGAGCCCCATCGGGCCCTGACGGCGTGGCTCGGCTGGTGGGGGCGTCGCCCTGTGCACCGAAAGGGCACACATCCAGGCGGCGGGTTTCTTTCTCTCTCACATTGACGTTTCTCTCTCTCACCTCCCTTCTTCTCCCTAAGGTCGATTTTTGGGCAAAAAACTGTCCTGGGTTGCGGAGAGGCAGAGAAATAGAGAAAGATAACTGGCAAGTATAGCTACTTTTCTTCTGACAAAATTTGGAACTAAAGATAGAGAAAGAAATAAGATATTAGTGGAGGTAAGACAGAAAGAGTAAAATTAAAATGTTACCTTAAAAAGCTAGTGTTGGTTGTAATTAGGGCACAAGCCTCCTAGATTTTCAGGGATTAAATAAAAAGACCTTAACAATCATCATAAAGAACAAGTGTTCCATGTTCCACCCCTTGCCCAATAATCACCTAACTTCAGACCTTGACAGGATCGTTTATTCTACACTACAACAGCTGGTTAGGAGCTCTTCTACGGGCTGAGACATGTTTGTCTACAAGGCCTTCACCCACGGCCCTGTAGACGTGCCCGAGTCCTGTCTCCCTCTGAACTCTACAGAGTGGATTAAGTCACGGCTCCGCCAGAGCCCTCGGCCTTCCCTCGGTGGCCTCAGTACCTTCTTTCCGTCTTCACTGATCTGTCTAGATCGTTTCACTTCTNGATTCTACAGCGTGGATTAAGTCACGGCTCCGCCAGAGCCCTCGGCCTTCCCTCGGTGGCCTCAGTACCTTCTTTCCGTCTTCACTGATCTGTCTAGATCGTTTCACTTCTTGTCACTTGTTTTCTAGCCTTCGCTCTCACGGGACTGGATCCAGGAGGGGACAGATATCTTGCCATGCAAAAGCCAGTCTCCCTGTGATTTGCAGTGGATGAAAGACAAGCATACCAGGTGCATGAATTTTAATGAGGGGTGGTGACAGCAGGTTGAGGATGGTGACCCCCAGGGCTCAAGAAGATAGTTTTGGTCAGCGTTTCTCATGGTTCCGGTCACTTTTGTTCTCCCTTTTAAAAAGGTTTATCCTCATGTAGGATGGGAGGCAGCACGGTTGATAATTTCTGCAATAGAGGTAGGGGTGTTCAGCCTTTCTGCAAGAAGTCCTGCAGGTCCCCATGTTACCCATGCATCGGAGCATGTAATGTCTGCCTGGCCGAAATAAACAAACAAACAGAACAAATAGTTAATTTCCACTTAGCAGTAGCATAGCTCTAATGAGCCGGGGAGCACAGTAAAAATCCAAAGGGCTGAGATGCTAGCGAGCTGCCACTGGACACCTATTAGCGTGACCACGACTGGAACACTGAAAACACCGAATCCTGGCAAGAACGGGGGCAGCCCCCGCTCTCATCCATGGCCGGCGGGAACGAAAAGTGGCGCAGGCCCTTTGGAAGGCAGTTCGACGGTTTCTTGGAAAACTAAACAGACTCTTGACCATGCAAACCAGCCATTGCATTCCTTGGTATTTACCCAGAGGACTTGAAAGCTGATGCCCACGCAAAAAATCCGCACGCGGGTGTTTATAGTAGCTTTACTCGTAATCCCCCAAATTTGGGAGCAAGCGAGATGCCCTTCATTAAGTGAATAAATAAACTCTGGGGCCTCCAGACAATGGGATATTATTCAGCACCAAAAAGGAAAGAGCTGTGAAGTTAGAGACAGACATGGAGGAGGCTTAAACGGATATGACTAAGAGAAAAAAGTCAATCTGAGAAGGCTTCATGCTGTGTGATTCCGATGATGCGATATTCTAGAAAAGGCAAAACTATGGAGACAATAAAAAGATCAGCTGCTGTCATGGGGTGAGGTGGGGGTAGAGGTGAACAGGTAGGGCCCAGAGGATTTGGGTAGCGGGGAAAATACTATGACACTGTAATGACGGGTTCATGGCGTCACACATTTGTCCAGACCCGCAGAGTATACAACACCAAGAGGGAACCATAATGTAAGCTGCGGACTTTGGGCGATTAAGACGCGTCGATGCAGGTTCATCAGTTGTGACAAATGTACACTCTGGTGGGAGATGCTGATAAGAGGGGAGGCTGTGCGTGAGTAGGAGCAGAGAGTATGTGAGAAATCTCTGTACCTTCTCAATGTTGCTGTGAACCTCAAACCAGTCTAAAAAAATAATATTTTTTGAAAAAGAAATCCCTTAAAAAAGAAATAAAGCTGTTATGAACGTTCACCTACAAGTTTTTGAAACTAAATTTTTATTTCTCTGGAATAAATGCCCAAGAGCGTATTTGGTGGGTAGCATGGTGAGTATGTTTTTGGTTTTTATTAAAAAAATAAACTCCCAATCTATTTTCTAGAGTGGTTGTATCATTTAATATTCTCACCAGCAATGTATAAAAGATCCAGTTTCTCTGCATCCTTGCCAACATTTAGCATTGCAACTATTTTTAATCTTAGCTAGTCTAATAAATATGTAGTTGAATCTCATGGTGGCGTTAATTTGCGTTTCTCTAATTGCTAATGATTTTGAACATCTTTTCATGTGCTTATTTGCCACCTGTATATCTTCTTCAATTAAATATCTTTTCATGACTTTCTTCTAATTAGATTGTTTGTTTTTGCTGTTGAGGTGTGAGAGTTGCCTGTATAGTCCAGATACAAGTCCTTTGTCAAAAACATGGTTTGCAAATATTTCTCCCAGTCTGTAATTTGTCTTTTCATCTATTCTTTTCACAGAGCCTCTCTCAGAGTAAAAGTTTCAAATTTGGATTAGGACCAGTTCATTGATTTTTTTCTTTGATGGAGTGTGCTTTTCATATCTGAGAACTTTTCATTTACATCTGAAAGTTTTTTCCTTTGTTTTCTTTTAGAAGTTTTATACTTTTACATTTAGATTTAAATCTATGATCCATTTTGATTTAATTTTTTGTATAAGTTTTGAGGTTTAGATTGGGGTGTTTGTGGGTTTGTGTGTGTGTGTGTGTGTGTGTAGTTTTTTGTTTTGCCTACAAATTCCAACTGCTCCAGCACCATCTGTTGAAAAGAATATCTCCCTTCCATTGAATTGCTTTGTGCACTTGTAAAAAATCAGTGGGTTGTACTTGTGTGGGGTTATTTCTGGGTTTCCTATTCTGTTCCATTGATCTATCTGTCTATTTCTCCACCAGTACCACAAGGTCTTGATTACTTTAGCTATATAAGTCTTGAAATCTGTTAGAATGATTCCTCCAATATCATTCTTCTTTTTCAAATTTGTTTTAGCTATTTTCTTTTCTTTGCAGATTTCTTTGCACACAAGATATTGACAGAAATCTTGTCTATATCTACAAAAAGCCTGCTGGGATTTTGATAGAAATTATGTTAAGTGTGTCTATCAATTTGAGGAGAATTGACATCTTTGCTAGTTGAATTTTACAATCTACAAACACGACATGTCTCTTCATTCATTTAGATCTTTGGTTTTTTACAACATTCTGTATTTTTCAGCATACAATTTCTTTACATGTTTTATTAAATATATACCTAAGTGTTTTATATTTCTGACATGATTCTGAGTGATATTATATTTTTAATTTCAGTGTTCACATGTTCAATGATGGCATGTAAAAATACAATTGATTTTTATATGTTTACCTTTTATCATGTGACTTTGCTGAACTTACTAGCACTTAATTTTTTTTGGTAGATTCCTTGGGATTTTATATAAAATAGTTATATTACTTCCTTTTTAATCTGTATGCCATTTATTTCTTTTTCTTGCCTTAATGCACTTGCTAGAACTACTCAGAATGAAAAGGAAAAACCTGCTGATCTGCACGACTTGGATGGGTCTTAAGAGCATAATGCTGAGTCCAAAAAAAACCCCATCTCAAAAGATCACATATAACCCAGCCGGGCGAGGCTCAGTGGTTGAGCATAGACCTAGGATCCAGGCGATTGCGGTTCAATTGCTGGTCAGGGCACATGCCCGGGTTGCGGGCTCGATCCCCAGTCAGGGGTGTGCAGGAGGCAGCCGATCAATGACTCTCTCATCATTGATGTTTCAACTCTCTCTCCCTCTCCCTTCCTCTCTCTGAAATCAGTAAAGATATATATATATTTAAATCATATATAATTCCATTTATACAACAGTCTTAAAGTGACAAAAGTGTAGAGATTAGCGGTTGCCAGCTGTTAGGGATGTGGCCGAGGGCAAGGGCAGAGAGGAGAGTCTGTGCCACTGTAGAGGAGTGGCGTCAGGGAGATCTTTACTGTGATAGAATAGCTCGGAATCTTGATCATTGGTGGTAGTTACTAGATTTTTTATAAAATGTCATAGAAGTATGCACACACATTGCATTAATATCAGTTTCTGGGTTTGTATATTGTAGTATAGTTATGCAAAATATAACCATTGGGGGAAACTGCATGAAAGGTACATGGGACACTCTGCACTGTCTTTGCAGCTTTCGGTGAATCTATAATTATTTCAAAATAAAATAAGTTAAAATAATTTTTTAAAATAGTGAGCTTATGTGAAGGTTTTCATGGGTAGGGGCATCGGTTGGGCTCTGAAGGGTGAGGAGGAGTCCCTCACAGAGACGAGCCTGGGGATGAGCCCAAGGGGAAGGGAGCCATGAACAGCAGCAGCA